GTTTCTCAACCTTGGCAACTTTAAGATATGTAGACTTCAACTCCCAGAATTCCCCAGCCAGAATTCTGGGAGTTGAAGTCCACATACCTTAAAGTTGCCAAGGTTGAGAAACACCGTTCTACATCATCCTAGGCTGACCAAGTGTTGTCATTAAGTTTCTTTCCCAGTGATTGGAAACTGCTGGGGGCAGGATCGGGAAGAGCAGGTCAAGACCAAGGAGCTGTAGGTTTTGGGTCTTCTAGCTCCGGGGACTCTCCACCTTTCGTTCTAGATGTGAGATAACTGGGCTGAAGGAATGACTGGCCTCTCTCCAATAATTTATTTATTATTTCATTTTATAACTCTTTCATTTTGTTCTGTGTTGGTTTGACTCTACCTTAGGTTCTGTGTCAGTTCTGGAAACCACAGTTTTAGGAATCAGAGAAACTGGAACAATTTCAAGGAAAGACAAATCTAAATCCTATACAGTAAGAGAGATTAAAGGAGCTGGGAATGCTCATTTTTCACTCTTTAGATACCAGAAAAGGTGTTACACGTTCACACAAATGGCTAATACTGAACGTTTATCAAGATACAGAATAATGGATTTAAGATACAGAAAGGGAGATTCTAACTAAAATTCGGGGGGGGGGAAATCTGAACCACCTAGCAGAGCAGTTTGATAGCAGAATCAGTTCCCGAGGGAGGCTGTGGTCTCCCCTTCACTAGCTATTTTCAAGCATAGGGTTGAATCTGTGGTGGATACTTGAATTTGGGTCCTTGAACTGGGGAGGGGAAGATGTTCTAGATGGCCTAAATAGCTTCTTCAAACTCTAGGATTTGATTATGAGCATTTCTTTGTTATAGAAGCCAGTTGACATAAGCAACCCCAGGGTTGCCATGGAGCTAAAGAATCAGCTAGGAAAGCCACGCCCCCACGGAACTTTTCACAACATGAGCTCATTCTTTGTGGCTGAAAACAATAGACCAATGTTTCTCAACCTTGGCAGCTTGAAGATGTGTGGACTTCAACTCCCAGCATTCCCCAGCAGCTCAGCTCTGATTGCCCTAATTTTAGCTTAGGCAAGAAACCAAAAGGAAATAGAAAAATAGAACGAAGATTATGACCAAACTCGGGATTGTTTTAATTAAATTTTTAAAAAACCCTCAGAAAAGTACTGTGTTTGATGTATTCCAGTCAAAGAAAACCACAGCGGTGACTTCCACCAGGTAGTAAAACACTAGCTCTTTAATGAGACTCTTGGCGAAGCTAGAAAGAATCCATTCTGTATTGCAATATTTTAAGACAGTTGTAGTAAAAGGGGGAATTTTCAGCTACATGTTAGGTTACATTTTTTATCTCTATGGGAAGGCTGTCGAAGGTAGACCACAGAACGGGAAATCCCCACCCCTAGAAGTAAACTCAACCCGCGGCTTTTCACCCCGTTCCTCTCCTTCCCTTTATTCGCACGTATTGCAGGCCACGCCTCCCTCAGTCGCCTTGTTTTTCTCTCGGTGTCCAAGGAACGCTCGGTACCCGTTCAAGCTCCGCCCCTTCTGGCTAGTTAGCCAATCCGGTTTCTCCCGATGCCCAAACCGGCACCTGCTGTTCGCCCCGCTCCGCCTTCGTTCTAGTCGGCGCCGGGCCCCTGCCGGTTGGGAAGGAAGGTGCGCGGGCTGGAGCAGGTGAGGCCTTTTGGCGTTGCGGTTGTTTTCCGCCGTCTCTCGTGTCGGTCTTTCTCTCAGCGCTGGTATTCTGGGACCGGCCGCCTCTTAAGGTCGAGAGCTCGATCGCCTTCGTGTGGGAAGCGGCTGTTGGGGTCGGGAAATAAGGCTTGTTGTCAGGAGGAAGGGAGGTTGCATCGGTGAGTGCGAGGCGCTCAGCGAAGCGACATTTTAAGGCTTTCTTACCTAATCCGCGTAGATTGATGCGGTTTGTTACTTCCTCATTTTATCCTCGAAGCAGCCTTGGTTGTGGGTGAGGAGCAGCCTTACCCTGTGAATTTGGGGCTGCATAAGGATTTCGATCCTGACTTTTTGGGTTCAGGCCTGCTACTCTGAATTCTTGTATTCAGTATTTATATAATTTAGTCATATTGATGATACCACAGTGAAGCAGTGCAATACTTCTTTTAAACTCCCTGAACATCAGAACAGCATTTGGGAGAAAGCCACTTTTAGTTTGATTATGTGCATGATGTCATTTAACCTGAGCAGTATTTTAAACTTGTAATGTGTTATAGTCTAGATTGTGCTGTATATTAAACTGGATTTCTGATAAGGCACAATATATATAACTTCTGTTTCAATGAAATACTGCCTCATTGTTGGGTGGAAGAAGAATCTATGGGAGCAATGCAGTAATAACTGATAGCAAATTCTGAGTATTATTTAATTCATATTGTTTCTGAAGTTAATTGAATTGAATTCTATAGTAACATAGTACTTGAATTCTATAGTAATTTATTCTATAATAACACTAGAAAAATAAAAATGCAGCTTTTGTGGGCATATAATGTAGGTGAACTTTGAGTGGAGAGGCTTCAGTCCTTTAATATCTACTGTATTTTTAGCCTTTCCATTCTATACCCAAAGAATTAAACTACATCCATTAACAGAATGCTTTCTGTGTTTCTTTAAAAAAATCATTGCTTTTTTTTCCTTTGCAAATCCTAAAAGAACCACTAATCCCTCATACCCAGCCCACATTCAGTAATCAAGTACTGTATTGGCTTCATTAAAACTTCTTCAATGCATATTCATAATACAATGAAATTAACACTTTCCAATTGTATATATTCATTTTCATAGTTTATCTCCTAGTTTAAAACATGACAGTGTGTGAGGAGAGTGTAGGACAGTGTTTCTCAGTCTCAGCACTTTAAGATGTGTAGACTTGAGCTCCCAGAATTCCCCAGCCAGCATGCTGTGACTTAAGAAAATAACAACCCTAAAGAAAAATCTCTCTCAGGTGGCCCTCCAGATGTTACTGCATTGCAGTTCTTGTAATCACTCACCACTGGTCATGATGGCTAGAGCTGATGGGGATTACAGTTCAACACCATCTGGAGGTGACACTCTGCAGTGGTTTCTTGATCCTGTCTATCCGCTTTATCCATTGTCTTCCCCTCCTTCAACTTCCCCCAATCTTGCCAAGCATTGTTGTTTTTACCCACTCCAGTGGAGAAGATGGAAGTTTGCATTATATTGTTTTCCAACTTTTTAATCTGAAATGGAGGTAATGAAGTTAAGAAAGCATTCATCCACATGACTGGTAGTGCACATTGGTATGATCACACTAACTGTTATTTTAGTACAGATTTCTGCATATCTACCCACCATGCCCTACTTTAATTCACAGTCGTTAACACCTCCAGTGTAAAGTATAATGTGGGTGCTACATTATAATAGAATGTGTTGCTTCCTGGGCAACAAACAGCAGCATTAATATCTAAGCTGGAAGGAATCTTTCACATTTCTAGGAGTCAGCATCAATTTTTAAGAACCTGACTAGTTGTGAATTTTCAACCTCATACACAAACGTTTTATGAATATTTGGATGAGGATTTTGTTAAGTCAAACGAACCATTAGCTCATCAAGCTTAGTACTTTGACTGTCTATTAAGGCATTCCAAAGATTTCATGTAGAATCTTCCATAATATTATTTCCTACAATGAAGGTGTGCTAATCTTTTTTTCCTGTTATCTGCTGTTTGGTGGGGTAAACGGGTAATTCTCCAAGGCACAGAGACATTCTTCAACATTGTCTTAAAGCTTGCTATTAACAGTGGTAGCAGATCACCTTTCTTTTTTTCCTGAAAAGCCTTTTGGCTGTCATTGCAAATTGCCAAGCCATTGCTGTTATTTACCATTGTTGATAATACCCAGATCAAATGATACTTTACAGTATTCTATGTGCCTAAAGGGGAATGGTATCATCACTGAACTAGTAATTTGGTTGAAAAGTTTCAAGTGATAGCTTGAGTTGTGTTAGCCATTTAAGTATGTTCAGCATACAGTGTTTCATTTTTAAAAATGTCTCATTTTCTTCACAGGGGAACTGTGCTGTCTAACTCATAATCAGCAATTTATGCTGATTAATTACAGTCAAATTTTCCCACAGAAGAAATTAATTATTCCAATCAAGTGGAATAAAGTGACAATCTGTTGATAATGTCTGTCCTTCCAGGATATTGGGGTGGGGGAAGAGTTTGTTTAGAAAGATTTGCCATATGGCTATAAGAACATGTAATGACTATTACCTAGATTATAAGTAATAAAATACTGAAATACAGGCAGTCCTGGCTGTCCCAGAACCAAATATAAGCTTATGTGTAAGACTAAGTCTACACATTGTGTTAACCCTTTAATTGAGGGTCATTGAATGAACTGTAGTGACCTGATTCATATATAATGCTGTACTAAGAATGCAGTGGCTGGGTCATGTTAAATCAGAACCAGACAAATCAGATATGGCTTAATGCAATGTGTGAACCCACTGGTGAAAAGCTATCTCTGCATGTGTAATTAATAACATTTTTTTTCATGTACTGCAAAAGAAGGGAGCCTGCGGTCCTTCAGATATTACTGAATTACGGTTTGTTGCAGATCCAGCCACTGAGGAATGTTGGAAACGCTTAATAGAATGTGATTAATGTGTACAACTTGGACAGCGAAAGTACTGTTTCATATTACATTATTGTTAGAATAATTGGCAGATCTGTGAATTGACTGGATAAGTCCTTTTTTCCAGCTCAGAATATGTACTCATCCTTAAGTAGTTGAGATTTTTCAATGTATTTTCTTTTGGAGTGTGTTTGGAAACAGTAATCCTTCTCTTTATCCAATTTTATTTCAGTGAACCAAATGACTAGATTTGAATAGCTGTTGTACTCAGATTAATGATTATGTTCAATCATGTAAAAATACATATAAGAACTGAAACCATAGCGATGCTAGCTTTCAAAATCATATAGACAAAGAAGTATGTTGCTAACCTCTTTAATTCTGTAGATCATGAATATCTTTTTTTATTATACTAGCCTGGTTACCTTCTAAATACAAGTTTTAGAATTGAGTGCAGCTGACTTGTTCCTGAAGAATCTGTAACATCAACATATTACCTGATTCTCACATTGTACTAAATCAGGATTTGACTAACCATGGTTTATTAAATAAATCACAGTAACTGGGTTAAAACAGCACATCAAGCTGCAAGCAGAATGACCGAGCACAATATATGAACCAAATGTTTGCTTTCCAGGTCTGACTGAGGCAGAGATATGCACGTACACCCCCCCACACACACATACTGTCTGGGGATATTCGTTTTTTAAGAGCACATTGCTGCTCCAGACCCCATTCTCCTATATGGCAAGGACTGCAATGCTGTTTACTGAAATCAAGTCCCATTCAGCACATTGGGACTTAATTCTATGTAAATATGAAAAAAAGTAATGCAGTTTTCCAGTGATGGAACTACTTTAATCACCAAAAATGGGAACATTGATGCTGTTTCCCTCTGCAGATCCCTTTGCACCCTCAATATCTGCTGTGGGCTTTCTCTATTATGTTTTAATGGTGCACAGAAGGTTTCAGGAAGAAGGTGTGGCATTACTTTTCTACAGGTAGTCTCCAGGTTAAGAATGCCCGGTTTACAGATGACCCATAGTTAAGAACGGAGCCTGTTGTAGCAAAATTGGAGCTAAATATTCATTGATTTGAGTTAAATACACAATGGTTCAAGTGAATTACACAATACTACTTATACAGTATTATACAATAATACTGTTCCAGCTTACATACA